GGCACTTCGAGAGATTTGGTGAAAAGTGTTACAAGACTACCACTTTAATAGCAATAGGATGCAATCTATCCTGAGCATCTCTTCCAAAAAGATTGTGGAAAGGAATGAGAATTGTGCAACTGTACTCTAAGCTTCCTTTCATTCTAATATGGCTTGGGTAAGAACAACAACAACAAAAGAAATCCTGCTGGGCTGTATCTAAAACTTTGTATTAGGGACTTGAGCTTCAAAATGTGATTTTCATTTGATAAATAAAATAAAATGTTTACTTTTATTTAATAATGGTATGAGCATTATCTTTCCTAAAAGATACCCACCAATCTGCTTATTTATTTCATAAACTGTATCCTAAGTAAAGGAACCTGTATTATTGAATTTGATGTTAAGAGCCACAGTGTATCCTGTAGCTTCAAAATCCCACACAGAACTACATGGGGAAGTGCAAGTGTGACTTGCAACATAATGTTGCGGCCTGGGGTGCTCCTGTTTAGGTTTCAGACAGACATTCCTCCATTCCCCTTATACCCTGGTTTTCTGTGCCCCTGCTCCACCTATCAGTCTAGTGTGCCCACTAAACACCAGTAGTCACTGGGCTTCATTTTGCCAACGTTTAAGGATTTTGCTCCCCTCCCTGTGGTGTTATTTTGGCTACATAAGTTCCAGCATTTGAAAAACAGATTTCACTGTATGTATATATGATGTGGCATTGCCTCTCATAACTTCAGCAGCGTTATTCAGGTGCTGGATAATTTCTTATTGCATTGCTTTTATAAATATATTTTTGATGGAGAAGAGAGAGGACATTCTTAAGTGGACAGTTATGGCTTCTGGAATCATTGCCTTATTCCTTTCTGCCATTTAGAAAATGTATGTTGTGTACCAAGCATAATATGGGTGTAAGTAGGTGTAGCAAGAGAATAATGATTTCTAGTGATCTTTATCTTCCTATCTGATACATCATTGTTAACAGAAAGTCAAGGAACTCTGGGAAAAACCAATCAGTAAATTCTCCTGTGTGAACTCCATAGAAACACACAATAATTTTGCCGCAGCAGAGCCACTACTTCATCAAACAGCAATCTTAAGTGCTGATGTCTATGTAGCTTAACTGGGCCACTGGGAAACAAAAGAGAGATACCAACATTCTTGGTGTAGCACTGAGGTTTGCAGGGATTAAAAATAGAAGAAAAAACCCTCTGTGGGGAAAAACTCCAAAATAGCCTAATAATATATAAGATTCACAACTGATGGGGTGGGAAAAAGGAAAGTGGAATATAGTACCCACGAATAAGGAATGACTGGCTGGCTTGGACTCTGAACACTTCACACTATAACATTCTGTTACAAATCTCAACTTGCTGCATGGCTCCTAGCTAAGTTTACAGTACCAAACTTATTGGTACTGCCCTCAACCTTCCCATCTCTAGTTTTTCTTGAGAGTTCTTCATGTAGGATAACCCTTAATTTCAAAGTCAACATAAGTCTCTGCTTATGATTGTTACCAAAAGGCCGATATTTCATTGTAATGTTTCTGAGATCACAAGCCCTGTTCTTGTCAAACTAATGCCACAACAACACATTCATACACAAAAGCTACTCTTTATAAAACCACAATTACAATAACAGATAAATACAGAATTGGTTTTTCCCCAGTTCAACCTAGTACTACATCATGTTTTGTGCATATAAACCATTACTGCCTTGATATGTTTTCACAGGAGCAGCAAGCCATAACCCTGGAAGCTGAATTCCTGGAACAGAAGCACCATGTTCTTGAAGCACCATTCCAGAAATTGCATACATGGTGGACCTAGCAAAGGTTCTGAGGCTTCTGGTGCCACATGAGGTCAATGATATTATTATCCCTTTAGCAGATCAGAAGCTTCAGGCATGGAATGTGGGAGTCTTGCATGCTCCAAGGACTCTGTTGCAGTAAGAGCAGTCAGATGCCACAGCAGAGGCCTCACAGTATAGAAAAGGGTGCCCTCAAAATGTACCCAGGCTGCTCTACATCTGTGTCATATGCATTCCCCAGAGCTGGCATGAAATAACCTGAGTCTGCTCTTGGAATACTTCTGCCTGAATTGGGAAGTCCAAGATATTTGGGTTGGGGTGGAAGCATCCTTTATAATCTATAGCATTTGGCAAACTGCATGTGTGTTTAGTATTACAATGTAAAATTTTGTGACCGTTACAATGAAAAAAGCGTTTGCTAGACACTTAGGTGATTTAAATTATTTGTACCCAGCTACTCAAAATTTCAATAATATTTTGAGTCAGATTTTAAGGTGCCTGCATGTACAAAAAACCTGCAGAATTAATTGTGTGCTGAAAAGACTTCTTAAATTTGAATAAATGCTCCTTTTCCGCAGGCATTAAGTTCTCTTCTCTTTAATCTATTTTCTTTGCTAATGATTTGTTCTGTGCGCGCTCTCTCTCTCTCTCTCTCTGCCCCCCCCCGACTAAATCTTCTATTCTTTAACAGATGTCAAAGTTGACATACAACTCTGTTTTGATAAGTAATGCAGTATAGGAAATATTTGGAACTTTTATTGGAGGGGGCAGGAAGAAAGAAAAATAGAGACTTTGCAAATCAGTGTATTGGCATACCATAAAGTCTGCTAAGACGTCATAGAATTTTCACCAGTCTATCTAGAACTCTGTGACGTATTTTATAATTTATCCAAATCCTTTACCATATTGTATTACTTAGCAGCAAATACAGCATGGTTGTGTGTGAGAGGAAACCAGCTATTTAACAACAGTGACCAGAACAAATCTTTTGCTGCAAAATGTTTACATCAGTTTGAAGTTATATGAAATAAGTAGAATTTAGCAGGTTGGAGTTGAGTAACTGTATTGTTATTTTTATTCCTTAAAAAACGTTTCTTGGGTCTGTCCTGAAATCATTTATTTAAATATTTAAATCATATGTGCATATAATGATAATTGGTGAAAGCTTTTTTAAAGATAATGTATAATCAACAACTGTAAGCCTGCTAACACGACATGTACACACACACACACACACACACACACACACACACAGAGAGAGAGAAATAATCACAGGAGAGGATTAGGCTGAAGGGAAGCATAGGCCTCACAATCTTTTAGTGAATGAAAAACTGTCCCCGCTCACTGGCAAAGGGAAACTTTTACTGAGAAGGTTGCACCGTTTATCTTTTAAAAAAGCAAATAATGGAACTCATTGATTTCTAATCTATGTATTTCTTTCAATTCAGTTTGCAGAGTGTGCCTTTCTCCAGGTCCAAGTCAACGAATGATATTTTCAAATAGATTTACTTATTATTGCAATTATTTATTTTACCATGGTAGGAAAAATGTAAAAGTGTTGTAGTCCTTTATATTATGAAGAAAAAGTGTTTCAGAGCATGACTGTTGCATGTGTTGCAATCTTACTCATGTTTATTCAGAAGCAAGCCCCACTTTGGGCTTTCCCAGGGAGTATGCAGAGGATTGCAGTCTTAGACTTCTTAGAATGTGAAATAGCCCAGACCAAAAACAAAAACAAAGGAAGTCTAGAGTTGCCATGAAAGAATTCTCTTTTGAAACTAAGAGGAGTTTCATAAAAACATTCATCTTTGGAATCAAATTAAAAATATTAGCAAAAATCACTGGGGCATTCAAACTCTCCAGTGCCAAAAGCAGTTAATTGACTCTCTAAGCCAAAATTACACTAAGCTTGAAAATTGATTCTCCAGATTTCTTAGAAAAATTAGATAGAATATAAATGAACATAGTAATGCAACAGACCTCAGCTTTATTCACTAATAAGTACCTTTGAAACATTATTATGTCTCAATCTTATTTTTTCTTATAGTTTTTAAATACTAAAATATTTCTGATTACTTTTTCTGGTAAACCACGTATTTCTACCTGTCCACCAATTCTTTATAAAAGCGCTATTTAAATATATGTTTCTGAATAAAGGCTGCCTGGTTCTTGTATTCAACATACACTTGCATCCTAAGCATTTCTGCCAACTCCATCAGACATTTTCTATGAAGGAATCATAACATCAAGGAGTGTGATGCTATACTGGTATAGTTTTGGTATGCCCAAACTTTGCAACTTGTATGGTAGCAAAGCAAATCTTAGTGTTAGACTTATCGCAGTAGGTGCTTAACTGCTGTTTGTGGATTAATTGCATACTATACTCTTTTTTTGCCTTCAACTTCTGTAAAAAAAAGTACACTAAACTGTTCATGTCAAATTACTGATTTAATACTTATGGATTAAACAATTAAAAAGACAGAAGACTCTCATTTTAAATCAAAGCTGCACTACTAAAGTGAATGAAACCATGCCATTTGTCTCACTGAAAGCTACCAATGAGCAAGTGGTTTCAGGATTAGGCCTTAAGCGGCAGACAAATACCCATCTTCAGGAAACATCAAAGGGTTTGGTAGGGCCTAGAGGAATAAGTAACTAAATTATAGGTTTTAGTTAAACAAAAGCTCTGATGATTCTAATTTTCCACGTGGTTTTATGCACACACATTATCATACACATTCTCTTTAAATCACTTTGTCAATCACTCTCCCATTCATACACATCTAGAGATATATGTATGCAGTGATATCCCCCCAAAATGTTTAGGGGTACTCTCATTTTCCTACTCATATTGAAATACTGCCCCTCAATGAGGCCAAACTTAGATTCACAAAATGTTTAGGGGTATGCATACCCCTGTGTACCCCCAGAAAAAGCACTGTATGTATGTATATGTCTATACATACGTACATATCTCTTGCTCTGGATATGCCAGATACACATTTCTGTAGTTCTATGTTATCTACATGCATACACTAACATTTCAATATATCTATAGGCATACATTTTATATTCACATAAAAAGTAAGGGCAGAAGTAAAGACGAAACCACCACTGTCCTGCAAGGAATGTGTCATTTGATGCTAAGCCCTGTCAGGTGATTCAAGCTTTATCTAGCTGATTATTAAAAGGAAAGTACAACTTACTTGAAGGTCCTGCAGAGTGTCTGTGTGGCTGATTATTTTTTTCTTTGTTCTGAGTCAAAGTACTTCCACTGGTCATGGAAACAAGCTCTAAATCCGTGTCTTCTCTCCTTACAGGGCTTGTCTGGAAGCAGTGAAAGAGAATGTACACAATCAAGAAACAAAATATGACATTTTCTGAATGCAGCTCACATTACTCTCAAATAAACAAGCCGGCTCTGTCAAACAATCTTCTTCAGAATGATCCCACAATCCTTTATTGCTGCCCAGTCTGAACAAATGCACTATGTCAAAGCATTTTTGTAAATAGGAGGCGATCTTAAAATTGTGGTTTGTGATCAGAATCAGTGCAGCAACAAAAGACAACATTTTAGTACAGTAATTTTGAAGAAAATAAATCTTGCAGACAACTGATGAAACCTTAAACAGCTTAAGATCATTTACTGAGCAGTCTATAATTTAAAGTCAGAGTTGAAAGCCAGAAATGTTATATTTGATTATTTTTTTGCCATATTTGTGCTTAATCCAGAGCAAGTATCAGTTCTATCAATCAAACACTGAGTGAGTAATTTCATCTTTGCTACCTAACTAAACCTTCAGAAGAGTTTTTATGTACAGCTTGCATAAGATAATTATATTAAAATGTAACATATTGATGGATTTAAAAGAATAGAACAGAAAAAAGTTCTTTCATGTCAGTATGTTTTTAGATTTAGAATGGAGATTGAATAGAGAAATTAATTCAATGGTTTCAGCAATGCACATATCTGTACATTACAAATACTGGTCTTTCAACCATAAATCCTTGTAAGTAAGACTATTTATGTTTAGATTTATTTTCATGTAAGGATCACAGCCTATGAAACTGAAATGTACATACGAATTTAATTTTGCCGAGTTTAAAAATGTGTTATTTGTGAATGCAATGCTGCATTTAAGTTTTAAAACATAAATAAAATTACAATTCATAAATGTACTAACATTTTTAGTGAAATTAGTTGGTGCATCTGCAAGAAACTTAAAATACACTTACATCTTATTGAGGGAGGACCTAAGAATACAGTACAGTCTTTATTTCTCAATTATTTCAATGGACTAAGTGCTCTCAGCTTCTGAAGTGTATCTGTAATGACTGTGGTGATTCCAAGATCTTGGCAGAACAAATTAATGCAGTCATTCAGTGTTTGTCCACTCTTATAGACTGGAGTAGACTTCAGGTTTCTTGGATCTAGTTTGGTTTTGGTTTTTAATAGAACCCCAAGACCTACAAACTGGAACCATGTGCAGAAGACAGTTGGAATTAAAGAACAGGGGGCCTCTGAGAACACTCTGAGCCTATGAACTTGGTGGACACATTTCAGCAGCCTAATTTAGCTAGAAAAAAGTAATTATGTTGCTGTTGTTCCTAACAAAAATAAGAGACCCTTCCTGCTCAACTATTAATTGCCAGAAATCTAATTGCCAGTTGACCCTGATCTAAATTCTCCCAATCTGTTATACAAACATCTGTTTTATCCACTTCATTTGCGATATAGTCTTGCCCCCTTTTTGGAGAAGAGAGGTTTTGCCATGCTGATCCATGCTTTTGTAAGTGTGCTTCATTGAAGGCTGTCCATGAAGACAGACAAGAAGCTTCAACTAGTGCAGAATTCTGTTGCCCATCTCTTGGAAGAGGCTTACATTTGGGAATATATTCATACTACTTTACAAAGACTAGACACCTTTTGGACTTAATTTAAGGTGGCTCTTTTAAAATCCCTTTATAGTCTGGCACCTACAGGTTTCTTAAAGTTCACCTCTCTCTAGATTAGCTGAGTTACTGCCTTAGCTATGCAAGGTTGTTCCTACTCCATGTGCACACATGTGAGGTGAAGACATACTTTTATCTTAATGATTTTGAGGCTGTAGAACAGGAGTCACCAACCTTTTTGGACCAGTGGGAAAATCTGGAATTTTGAGAAAGTGCTGTGGGCACCACTCACAAAATGGCTGCTATGAGGGTGTATAGGAGAGCCCAAGACAGTGCAGACAGGGACTGAGCAGAAAGAAAAAATACTTTCTTAATTATTGCGGACTTGTGAGGAAATATTTCATTGCACCAGATGAGGTCCTGGTGGGCATACTGTTGGCCAAGGATGCCATGCTGATGAACCCAAGAACAACCTATTTGATGAGATACTTTGGCCTTGCGTCCTATTTATTTATTTGCAACATTTATATCCTGCCTTTCTTCCATGGACCTCAAAGTAGGATACTTTAGTCCTCACCACAACTATGTGAACTAGGTCAGACTGAGTTTGCATGACCTGCCCAAGGTCATTAAGTGAGGTTTATTACATAACAGGGTTTGAAATAATAATAATAATAATAATAATAATAATAATAATAATAATAATAATAATATCTTTATTGTCATTGCCCCCTCTCGGGTTCTCCCAGTCCTAGTCTGTGCTTAAGTACTAAAACATACCTCTGGCAGAATGCTTATGGCCACAAAGTGGACACTGTGGTGCTGCGTTTCTGCTGCTGCACAGTCTACTGTACTGATTGTTATTTTAAACACTTATTGCTGGTTTTTATTCTTTTATTCTGCTGGGAGTCATTTCAAGTTTTCAATAAATGTTTTGAAATTAATATATTCACGAGGTAGAAGCTACCAATTAACATGTCTGGCTGTATCAAACAGGTCTTAAAGAAGTAGCTTGATCTCTTTGTGGGCTTATACAAAAAAATAATCTGGGTTCCTAGTCATTCAGACTGGGGGTAAAATTCATTCCTCAAACATAATTCAGAGATAAATCTGTATTATACTGTGAACAAAATCCATCCACATATTTTGTTAGTGTATTATGTTGTTCGTCAGAGGGGATGTAGCATACATCTGAGTAAAGTGAGTTTGCTATTCATACACAAGTAATTATTATTGAGTGGTACTCTGTTGTTCACACAACTGGATTCAGCACCCACCCTAATACAGTGGTACCTCAGGTTAAGTACTTAATTCGTTCCGGAGGTCCGTTCTTAACCTGAAAGTGTTCTTAACCTGAAACACCACTTTAGCTAATGGGGCCTCCTGCTGCTGCTGCGCCGCCGGAGCCCGATTTCTGTTCTCATCCTGAAGCAAAGTTCTTAACCTGAAGCACTATTTCTGGGTTAGCAGAGTGTATAACCTGAAGCATATCTAACCTGAAGTGTATGTAACCCGAGGTACCACTGTACATTCGAGGTACATCCCTGCACCTCGAAATCTGAGGTACTGCTGAAAGCCAATGTGCAATTGAACAAGTGGAACAAGGGCTCACAACTCATGTTTATTTCTAAACAGCCCTTTACCTGTGTAGATCACAGGCTGGTTTACAAAGCAATCACATAAAATATAATGAAAAACTAAAATTGCAGCTAAAACATTTTCCCCAATAGAATACTTCCAGTAATTTAGTAAGAACTTGAATGTTCATGCCAGTAAGACACTCTCCCTTATCTTCAAAAAGTCTTAATGAATAAATTAAGCTGGTGCCAAACAATAGTTACTGAGGGGGTTTATTGTAATTTTCCACAGTTGAGGTGCCATCACAGAGAAGGCCTTGCTTTGTGTCACCACACAACAGTGGGACTAGAAGTAAGGCCTCCCTGTTGATCTAAAAGCATGAGCAGCATTGCAGATGTGCTCCTTTAAGTAACTGTGTTCCTAGTTATTCCGGGCTTTTGAAATCAACACCTTACATAGCACTTGGCAGCTTATTGAATGCCAGTCCAGCTCCTGGCGGACTGGTAATGACACATGCAAAGGGGATAACCCACAATTGAGGGATAGATGACAAATGCAAAGGGCTTATGAATTATGTATATATGCAGATTTGATTTTACACAGCTGTAGTATTCAAAGAAAGGTCTCACCCTGATCTCAGAAGCATTTATAGGACAATCATATGCATATTTACCCATAAGTAAGTCACACTGCGTTCAGTGGGGCTCACTGCCAGTTAAGAATGCACGGGATTGCAATTGTAATCATTTTTTAATGTTGTACACTGAGTTAATGTTGTGCCCTGAGATCTTTTGATAAAGGGTGGCATATAAATTTAATAATAATAATAATAAATGTCCAGATTTTAAAAAACCAATTACCATGGCAAAAACAAAACATCTTACCACATGTTGAACTCTTCCTCCCTTGATAACCTCTGGATCTATCTCAGGTAAGAAATGTTTGCTATACAGTGAATGGAAAATGACAAATATGTCAGTAACAGAATAAAATGCATCAGAATACTAAAGCTAGTATCCAATGAACTATTTCAATTGCTCCAAGGGCTTTGGTATACCCAGTGAGATGTTTGCCTTATCTTTGAGCAACAAATTTAAACCACACAACACATTGCTTCCTCCCAGTCTTCTCCCTATTTCAAAAGTGATTTCCTAGGCATGTCAAGTGGGGTCTTGTATGACAAACCTAAAGCTTGCTTGGGCACACATAAATATCACTATTAAACAATTTGTGGAGAGCATTTTACAATTGTCTCATGGCAATGTATGAATACCATAAACACAGCTAAACGTATTTTAACAGTATAAAACCCCCCAACTAAATATCGGTTTGAGAACAATACAAAATAAACGCTTAAGGCAATTACTAGGTCCTGTCCTTAAGTGTACATATTTACCTGTTGGCAAGCTTCACTGTAATCAATGGGACTTCTGGATAAACATATCTATGATTCTATGATAGTTAGCATTGGGCTGTATGACACCTACTGCTTAGAAACTGCAGGTCGTCAAATGTTTAGCTAAATATCATTAAGAATTTTGGCTCTTATTTTCAGTGGGTTTAAGGAATATTATTTTTAACAATCTGGCTCAAACAGATAAGGAAGTCATTCATTGCCAGAAAGTTTAAGATAAAATTCTCAAAATGCAAGTTCTTTAATAGCTAGAAATTTATCGAATTTACTAGTGTATTGAAAGAGTATAAATTACACCTATCATTATCCAATCTTATTCAAGCAGTCTATTATATAGCAGTAATCTTGGTTTTGGTTAGATAAGTCTATCAGTTATTTGACCACATGGCTTCTGATTCCTTTCCAGTTGATGTTTTGCCATCAAGTTGAGGGTAAGTAGGATCAGTCATAATACCTAAATTATCCTAACAAATGCTATTAACATTAATGTGCCACACACATCTACAGAAGTGATTTAATATGATTTAGACTGCAACAGTATACCTACTTATCTGGAAACAAGCCCAATTGAACTCAATGGCTTACTTCTGAGTAGGCATATATAGGAGTGTGTTGTTAGAAACAACTGAGATTGCATAAATGACATTTGACCTTAATTCTAAAAAACTATTGTATTTATCTTCTCTAAATGCTTTTATGAAAATTAAAACCAGGGAATAAAATAAAAACTAAATTGTAATATCTGGGCCCCTCTGCTAACTTACAGAGCTCAAGATTGAAAATACTATAGTTTATGGTTTTATCTTTTCACCTGGTTTTAAAAAAACACATATTTTTCAAGGGTAAGTATGGCACTCATGTATATAAAAAACCTCCTCATTATATAAAATATTGTTTAAAAGGTTAAACTATACATTGAACTTCTATCTATTTCTGAAGACCACCATGAGAGCCTGGATAGCTCCGTTGGTTGGATTGCAGCGCTGATAACACCAAGGCTGCAGGTTTGATTCCTGTTTGGGGCAGCTGCATATTCCTGCATTGCAGGGGGTTGGACTAGTTGATCCTCAGGGTACCTTCCAACTCTACAATTCTGTGATTCTATGATTACTTGAGGATTGTTGCTTTAAATAATATTCAATATAAGTGAAATTCATTTCTAAGATGTTCTAACATTGTCTGGCATCTCACTCCTAAACATAATTAATTGAAATATACTATCTTGTTCCAAATAAGAATATTTTGGGGAGTATCTGTTGTCACTGACTTCCACTTGATACGGTTACCATTGCTGTTAGGTAAGCAGCTGCTCACAATGTTTAATTCAATTTGGCACGGGATTGGCAGATAGCGCCCTACAAAATCATGCTATTAACATCCTTACTGAGAAATCAATCGTGGCACTTTGTCCCTGGGTCCACTGCACCATTGATCTCAATACAAACAGATTGCAAATAAGGGAAGGGAGGGATCTGTTTAGAGCTATTATTACAAGTAAGTAGGATATAAATGATGTTTAATAACAATAAATCAAAATTGGGAGGCACAGAGAACCTCGGACTGTCAGGCTGCCTATGGACAGCATGTTGCGAGACAGTAAGGTAAAGGGACCCCTGACCATTAGGTCCAGTCGTGGCCGACTCTGGGGTTGCGGTGCTCATCTTGCTTTACTGGCCGAGGGAGCTGGCGTACGGCTTCCGGGTCATGTGGCCAGCATGACTAAGCCGCTTCTGGCGAACCAGAGCAGCGCACGGAAATGCCGTTTACCTTCCTGCCGGAGCGGTACCTATTTATCTTGCACTTTGGTGTGCTTTCGAACTGCTAGGTTGGCAGGAGCAGGGACCGAGCAAAGGGAGCTCACCCCGTCATGGGGATTCGAACTGCCAACCTTCTGATCGGCAAGCCCTAGGCTCTGTGGTTTAACCCACAGCGCCACCCGCATCCCAGTAGTGTTGCATTGTAGTGCGCACCTGCTTCCTGGGGCAGAATTGTGTGTGCTATGGGCTGATGCCAATTATGTGTACTAGTTCCTCTGATATTCCACCAATTGGAGCCTGTCTCTTGTACTTTAGCATCTTTATTAATCGTGACCATTTTTTAAAAAAGCCCACCTGTATGCTTTTTGTCATTCAGCTGTTCCCCCCACTGACAAGAAAACTCTGAGGAGTGTTTTTTTTCTGATCTGAGGGCAGAATTGCCTTGCATCTGCAGGTGTCATCTGCCTGACAGCCTTGATAACTATCCTCAGAGAAACTCTCTTTTGACTTCTGAACCACCACTTACACAAAGATAAATCATTGAAGTTTAAAGGGAAAGCATTTCCTCAAATGTGAAGACCTGAAATTTTGTTTTTTTTAAAAAATAACAATCAAAAGCTTTGTATTATTTCTGCTCCCTTTTTCCTTGTGTATTTCTGTAAGATATATTGTCCACTCTAGCCCATGCCTAGTTCAAAATACCATCTGCCATGCCTTAGCATATCGGTGCACTATTTAGTGTACCTGGTTAGCTATTAGATTATGATGATTTTGAATGCATTCTGTAACTTGGAGAAAAATATATGTTTTCCTGCATTTTTCATAAATACAACTATTTGGGTTTCTGACAGAAAAATATTCATGGATATTATGAAGTGATATTTCATGCTGGCATGTCATAGCAATTCACTAAGGTTTGTGGCAGAATGAGATGCAGAATTTATTAAATTAATTCTCAACGGGAGTGTGTTTGAAACTTGGCAATCTGGCCTTTGGCAAAAAAAAGCATATTTGTTTTAGGACAATTAAGATGGGTTTCATGTTACATGATGTGTTATTACAATCCAAAAATCTAATTTAAAGGCAATGATCTCACCATTTTTCATTTCTGGGGCTAGTTGCTTCAAAATCCCAAACCTGTGTATGAAGCCATTGGTATGTACGTTCTTTGTTCCTTTCCATCTTATCTGCGGAACCATAAGCAAATGCTTCTTCCTTACCTGTGGATGAGAGATATTTTCAAGTTCTAACCTTTTGTTGGAACAAATGCCAAACAAACAGCACTGATTTACAGCAGAATGCTATGCAGGTTTATGGGGCAGTGAGACAAAATGGCCTCAACAAGACTTCTTAATAAATATTCATAGGATTGGGCAGATAAGGTGGTAAGTAAAAACAGAAAAAAGACAGAGCCCGTATTTTCTCCCTTACTTCCTTTCTCTGTACTTTGTAGCACACAGAATATTTGCAAACTAAGGCTCCATATAGAAACAGAAAACACAAAATGTGTCTGTGGAAGGTTAGTAGGGCTACTAGAAAGGACCAGTTAAGTAAACAGGTATGTAAATAAGCTTCTATAATTGCCTTCCCTTTGATTATGCCCACACAAGATTTCCTCAAAAAACATTCCAAAGGGCAGGTCCCCTCCTAGTGGGGGCACTAAATAGCTGAGGTTTAACTGTGTCTTCTGCCTAGGGATGGCAGAGGATTGCCACAACTCTCATGCTTGCCTGAATTCCGAAATGGAAATGAAGCAAGCAAATATGAGTGGCATTACTTTTTTGCTGCTTTCTTTTTTAATCCACAAACATTACACAAATTATCACATTATTTTCTGCATAGTTTCTGTGTTTCCTTTTCACTGAAATGCCTTGAAGTTAAATGCACAATTAATTGCACGTAATTATGTTTGTTTCAGGCTTTCAGCCATAGTGGGTAGGAAGACAAATAACCCAGGTTTTAATAGAAGCCTAACTGTAACAGAACAGAAAGCTCTGATTGTGATGAACACTGGATGGGACAGGAATTGCTGCCTCCTTATATGCCCACTGTGCCATTTCTGAGTTTTTACTGGTGGTCAGTTTTATTCTACGAGCCTTAGCTGGTTCCAAGGTGTGGTTAGCACTCAGATCTGGCCCTCTCCCTCTTCTTTCCAGTCGCCTTTGACTGGATCTAACTATCCAGGGGTCATTTACCTTTAACTTTTACCCACCAACCTTACTACCGATGAGCTTCTATCTCCTGACCCTGCGCTGTTCTCAAGGGATCCAGGACCTTACTGTTCTGCTTCTTCCTATTTTATGTTTGTTCCCTTGAGTGACATCATTTCTACTTTTCATGTGCACCTGGGCCATGGCTAAATAAGATGGACTCTGCATTGGGGTGGCTTGGGATGTAGGATGTACATGATGGACTGCGGTGACAGAGCTTATTTAGAAGGTGTTGTAATTGCAGTGCTACGAAGATGTAAAAGAAAAAAAGTGGAGGGAGATGGGGATAGCTTCTGATATCAGAAACTAAATCCTGGTCAAACTCAGTACATGTACAAAAAAAAAGATGAATCTGCAATATAGAAGGAACAGAAAGAAAAGAGCACCACATCCAAACATGTGTGAACCAAATACAGTACCAGACAGAAGTGAGGTAATCTCCTGTGCAGACATTGCTTCAGAAATGCAGCAGACACTCAAAAAGTTACTTTACCAACTCACAGCAGCTGGTAGAAGTCAACTTAGAAAGAAGAAATTCACATCGGAATATGTGATATTATATGTTAAAGATCTCTATACGTAGTGCAGACCTCTTGTTTCTGGCCTTTTCAGACCAGAAAAGCCTGAGTCTTCTGGCTGATTTTGTGATGTGTAGAAACACTCAGTGTAAGGTGGTGGAATGAACTTCCAAATTCATTCCTGATTTTTCATACTGTGAACTTGGAGCACTGAATGTAATCAAGTAATATCTCCAGCACCTGTTTCCTAAAATCTATGTATTATCAGGATGATCTGTTGGAGCATTTAATCCCTTGGGATGATTATGTGCCATGGGAAAGTACCCTTTGTGATCACTTTGATTCTCTAGAGCAAAAAGAAACCATATTCTCTGTACTTTAGCCTGCTCTTAATTTTTCTCTGTCTCTTGCCACCAGCAATAACATTTTCATAGCAATGCTTGTTCTGTCTCAAGACATTTTGGAAACGTTCACAGTCATTTTGTTAACAGAGTAACAAAATACACAGACATTTAAGGCAGCAATCACATGCACTCTTACTTGGAATGAAGCTCTAGAATGACTTACTTCTGAGGAAACATACACCGGATTGGGTTGGATTTACTAAAGACAAAATGCTAGCAAGCTTAGAAGTATAATATACCCCATGTGCAGGCTTACATATTAGTCATCTTGTATTGTGTTCCCCACTTCCCCAGTGGTGAAAAGTTGCATAGGCAATGCTAAATGGGCTTGGTTTACTTTGGATGAGAGTGCCGAGACTTATTGTATCATTATGATATTGGCTTTATTTACAAATAATTATTTACAAATATACAAATTAACCCTAAGTGGAGGCAAAGCTGATCTGGTAACCCACATCAGATTTGCAGAGATGCCAATTCACAGCGTGCTTTCCCCTTCTGTCTCAAGTTCACACAAACACACACACACCCCTCTGCCCCCTCCTCTTAGTTGGTATCCCAATCAAATGTATTCCCAACTATCTCATAACCATTTGCTCCGATCAGCTGACTATTCTGGGCTATTAACCAGCAAATCTATCTAACTAAAGAACTGTTATTCAGGTAGGTAGCTGTGATGGTCTGACACAGTCAAAAAACATAAAAAAATAAAAAAATTGTCCACTAGCCCCTTAGAGACCAACTAAGTTTGTTCTTGGTATAAGCTTTCATGTGCATGCACACTTCTTCAGAATCGTTAGTCAATAGTTGTCACAATATCAATTATTTAACAATATGGCTTCCTGTCATGCTGTATTTTAAACAGCTCATTGGTGATGACAGCCCTAAATGAATGTATCTAAACAGGCAAACCCTTGGAACATTTGCTTCAATTTAGTATTTTAAGATGTGACCATGACGACACTGTACAACAGATCATCTAGATTTCAAACCAAATCGTAATAGTCTTTCCATTTGATTTTACATCTCAAAAACTAAATGATCAAATGCCGTTCTTACAGTGACTCACCAGGAGACCTCTCCATCTGGCAGCTGGCTTTTGGAGCTTTTACCTGGTGCCAGACCAAAAGAGATTGACTGTGCTGCTTCTGTTCTACATAGCCAGCTGACCAGTAGCCTCCCTGACTGAACTGGCAGAGGCAGTCTCTGGTATGGTGATGGAGAACTTGAGGACTATTGCCCATGCCTTTGCAAGGCTACTTTCCCCCGATCCAGCTTGAGACTTCATTATTTATTTATTCTATTTAAATATGTACAAACTGCACTTTCACAGAAAAATGCAGTATAATGAAGTGATGTCTCATGTGGTCATTGGCCTGACCCACAGGACAGGACATTCCCTGGATTTGGTGGTCTGGAATTGGAGTGGTGATGGCTCTATGATTCCAATGTCATGGTGAGACTGCTTCCTGTTGAACTTTAGGGCAACTCTATCAATTTTCCCCTGCAGGGGTGGGAGACCAATTAAGATGGACTCTCCTAAGAGTCTTATGGGTTTCAATGGATTCTTTAATTTTCTGGAAATTTTCCAGTGGACAGAGCTGGCGATCCTGTCAAGGCCTCTTTCTCACTGTATGGTGCTGAAATGCAGAAGGCTAGCAACACAATTGCCTCATAGCATCCCCTTTGATGCTATGAAGCACATTCAGCCCCCTGGCATACTGGGGAACTGTGAAAATAGACCAGTTCACAAATAAAAGTGCAGCTGATTTAGCGCACGTATACCTACTTATGATCGCTGAAGAATTGATGCTTTTGAATTATGGTGCTGGAGAAGACTCTTAAGAGTCCCATGGACTACAAGAAGATCAAACCTATCCATTCTTAAGGAAATGAGCCCTGAGTGCTCACTGGAAGGACAGATCACGAAGCTGAGGCTCCAATACTTTGGCCACCTCATGAGAAGAGAAGACTCCCTGGAAAAGACCCTGATGTTGGGAAAGACTGAGGGCACAAGGAGAAGGGGACGACAGAGGGCGAGATGGTTGGACGGTGTCCTCTAAGCTACAAACATGAGTTTGACCAAACTGCGGGAGGCAGTGTAAGACAGGAGTGCCTGGCGTGCTCTGGTTCATGGGGTCACAAAGAGTCGGACACGACTAAACGACTAAACAACAACAACAAATGCCTACTTATGGTGGCAGTGAAGAGGGCCTGCTTTGCTGCCTCTCTCATGAAATTTACTCTTCTAGCATATAGGTTAAAAAACATTGTTCAACACCATTCTAACTACAGTGGTACCTCTGGTTACGAACTTAATTCATTCCGGAGGTCCGTTCTTAACCTGAAACTGTTCTTAACCTGAGGTACCACTTTAGCTAATGGGACCTCCTGCTGCTACTGTGCCGTTGGCACACAATTTCTGTTCTCATCCTGAGGTAAAGTTCTTAACCCGAGGTACTACTTCTGGGTTAGTGGAGTTTGTAACCTGAATTGTTTGTAACCCGAGGTGTTTGTAACCAGAGGTACCACTGTATTGGTATTTTGTGACGTAGGAAAAACAGTTAAATATGAACCTATAGTAGTAACAATATTTTCTGGAACTTAAGTAGTTAATAAAATGACCAAATAATGTGACTGTGGAAAAAGGGGTTGAGTAAAATGGGCATATATGCTAGAGACTGAACAAATGCTAAAAATTCAACTACTGTTTAACTTTTCTGATTTATAAGTATAATTCACCTCCCACACAAAGCATCAGTACTACTGCTGCCAGGGTAAGATTAATAAAGAAAGTAGTCATTCAGTCCATGCATCCTGGATGAATTTCAGATCTCTCTAACACTGTGCCAGCATTCAGATCTAATGTTCAAGGTTTGTTTTTTTGTTTTTTGTTTAAACAGGCTTGAGGTTGCATTAAGAAAAATGGAAGACAGGTATCATGGCAATCTTATTTGTGGTCTGAAAGCAATGCATAGTAATTTGGATTTTTACTTAAAAAGGTAAGTGGCTTATACTTTGATCATAGTGATTTGCACCAGGCTGAAGTCTTAGAAAACAAAGCATACATTAAGGAAAGTGCTTATAT